CAATATTTTTTCAGCAATTAAGAATTCTATTCCCATATTGACTGTGTTAGAAGCATGTTTTCTGTGGTCAATAACAAAAATTATTAAACCGATAGAAATTGACAATATATGCAGTATTGGACAGCAAGAACTATCAAAAAAAGAAAACAAGTACAATTTGTAATTTTTATTAAATATTTTTTATTTAATTATAATATATTTGCATAGATTACATAAAAATATATACATAGAATATATATTTAATCACACCTAAGCAATGAAATAAACAAATTGTTTATTTCAACGAGATATCGCCATAAATTAATTAAGAAAAAACAGTGATGAATTATTTTTCAACTGTCTTTAATGAAAAGTTTATAGCCTACAATTTGCATGCAACTTCATATAGTTCTGCCTTGGATAGTAATCGTGACGAGATTATATCAATTTTAGTAACGTCGTTTACGAAATTGTACAAGAAACATTAAATTTATCATTGTCCGTCAAATGAATATCTCCAGATCTGATATTTCTTTGAACACAATGAATGTTTACAATTAGCCTTTATAACAAAGATAAAAAAAAGTAATTCGAAGAAAGAAAATAATGATTTTAAAACATTTTTAGTACAATGGGCTACGCATCATATTTCTTATGCAGATTTACGCATTTACTATCCGATTTCAGAACAGTATATACAATTTTTTTCCAATTTACCAAACTATACAAAGACATTATTACAAACACGATCTTCCGTTATTATTGATGTTTTCTGGACAATACTGTCATTTGAATATTGAATACAATATTCGACAATTCTTATGGAGGAGTAAGAATATGGTTTCATCTCTTATTCAGATTCAAATCGATAATATACCGACCTCTCGATCCAATTCAAATCAATTATAGCCCATTTTGAGTCAAATTATGCCTCATGAGAAAATATTTCTTATCGGTTGCTATTTCGAGAAAAGTAAATCAGCGGATGCGAATAAATTATTACAATAGTTTGTAAAAGATAAAATAGATAAGATTTGAATAATAATGACTTACAATAAAATAACATCAGTGTTGACACACTCTGTCATTTGTCATGCCCCTGCTAAATTTTTTCATTACTCTCACTAAAAAGGACACACCAACTATTTTGTTCAAAATATACAATTAAAGATCATTTTATCGTTAACAGAATTTGTTTTCTCGATTTTGATTGTCTAAAAAGAACAGACAATAGCTTTCGTAATTTAATCAAGAACACCTTGGTCATTCTATTCTTAAACATTTCAAATTTTGGCAATGTATTTCAAATTTCATTAGATTATATGCATCTGATTATGAGCGTTATTAGAAAGCCAATAAGTTTATAGATAACTTCTGTGCTTTAAAAAGTACATAAGAACGTAAAGAATCAAACCGATGTGAACCTTTATCGCTCAACTTTATCAAAAATAAAAATTAATACTGCAGGCTGTTTGTACTTCGTTTGTACTTGTTTGTACCGATCATTATTTCGTTTGTGCCTCAAACAGTTAAACAAAAAGTGAAAAATAAAAAATGGCCAGCACGCAACTTTAAGATTTTTTAATTTCATTTATGCCATTCGAAAGAGAATCGTTTATACCCATTTGTACCTCTCTTACTTTCGTTTGTACCTCGAAGGATTCGGAGATACTATTTAGGGGTTACGCAAAAACTGAAACGAGCTGTATCTCCGAAGCCTTTGAGGTACAAACGAAAATAAGAGAGATACAAATGGGTACAAACGATTCTCTTTCGAATGCCGGGTCCCATTTCGATATCTTTAAAATTTGCTATATAGGGATTGCGCAAAAACTGAAACGCGTTGTATCTCCGAACCCTTCGTCTAATAAGATTTCCATATATAATTTTTCTTTAATTATTGTATAAAATTTGATACTAATCCCCAAAGCAGCAGGAAAAAGATTTGAATTTATAGTAAAGTTATAGTTGATTAATTCAGAGAGATCAGAACTTATTTGTAGACCTAATATATTAAAAAGAAAATATTAATCTTTGTACATTAAAAAAGATTATCAATTAATAAAATGCATGCTTATTAGCATCAAAGAGATGTTGGAGTAACAGCCGAACTTGATCGATATGAATAGTTGACTTTTTTAATTCCATATTAAAAATGTCGATAATAGTAATCTTTTATTCATTTCTTATATCGTTCTAAAACAAACATATCTCTACAAGATCCGGCATTTATTGATAAACATAACTGTTCTGTTTACTATTCTGAATCTTCACTAAGTATATGTGGGGCATTTCACATGAAAGGAGTCTACCTAAAAATAAATTGTTCGGAATCTTTAAAATAATCATGAAAATATGTAAGTGGACATATTGTATAATGTTGGAGATAAAAAAAAAAGAATTATACGTCTTGCTCCAAGATATTAAAAATCGTTAAAGAAGATCTCCTTTTATTATCATTTATTTACACAAACACAAAAATACAAAATTTTTGTACATATGATTTTTTTAGGATTTTTTTCCGTACTTTTATAAAAAAATTAATTTTAATGAGAAAAATAAATAGCGTGGAGAAAATTTTTTAACTTTAAGTAAATGAAAAATTATATTCACTTTTAAAAATCCGAAAAAATTCTTAAAATACTCCAATATATTAGGTGTACAACTTCGCTTCCGCCGTTTTTTTTCCGAAATTCGAGGCTTTATTATAAAAAACTGGTTATACATTTATGATTCAAAGTATTGTCCATCGCTGCCACTACTTTCTCCCATCTTTCGGGTAGCGTACGAATCCCGCGTCGAAAAAACTGGTCATCTTTTGAGGCTATCCACGAATCGATCCAATTTTTTATTTCTTCATAAGACCGAAAGTGCTGGTCAGCCAGGCCGTGTGCCATTGATCGAAACAAGTGATAGTCAGAGGGAGCAATGTCTGGAGGATACGGCGGGTGGGATAGGACTTCCTATTTCAACGTTTTCCAAGTATGTCTTGACCACTTTCGCAACATGGGGTCGAGCATTGTCATGCTGCAAAATCACTTTATCGTGTCTCTCGTTGCGACCGTTTGTCTTTCAATGCTCGGCTCAAACGCATCAATTGCGTTCGATACCGATCGCCTGTGATTGTTTCAGTCGGTTTTAACAGTTCATAATACACTACACCGAGCTGGTCCCACCAAATACAGAGCATGACCTTGGAATCAAAATTACCGTTCTTGAAGTGTTGAAACCACTCACGACACGTTCTTTCACTAATAGCGGCCTCACCATAAGTATTTGAGAGCATTCGATGAGCCTCAGCCGCAGATTTCTTCATATTGAAGCAAAAAATTAAAACTTCCCGCAAATGACGAGATTTGGCTCGTAAACTGACATTTTCAATCGAGAATAACTTTATGATGCAGACACAAATCGACTAATGTTTCTATGGGGTTGACAGATGTCCAAGTTTATTGTATGACGTCTATGATGTATTTATTTCGACCACCACTTACCGCTAAAGCCATCTATAGGAAAACGGCGGAAGCAAAGTTGTCACCTAATACATAGAATGCGATGCCATAAAGGAAATTTTGAGTTCGCAATGATATTGATGGAAATTTAAAACAACTAGCAAGAAAAATTAGTTTACAGGGAAATGTCATACTCAATGCTAAGATATTTTACATATGGACCCTTCTAAATATAATTTAGAAGGGACAACAATTTTATTTAGTCCAAAAACAATTCATGGTAAATTAAATAAGCTTTTGAAACCAAAATTCGTATTAGCGGAAACTATTCCGAGTATATTAAAATATCATACGATTATTTTTGCAAAAGATCAACTTATTTTAAAAGAATTAAGTTATAATAAGAATTAAATTATAATACGCCATTTCTTTCCAAAAGAAAAGAAGAAATAAATAAGTCTAAAGAATATAAAACGCTCCGATTCCAGAATTATTTTCATTTCACAATTATATATTAAAAATATATTATGTAGTGTTGAATAATTAATTATATAAATATATTATGTAATTAAATTAATATTAAATAATATTAAGTAATTAAATTAATTAATAAAATAATATTATCAAACTTGTAGCGGAAATTTCAATTTTGTTTAAGAAAAAATTCATTTACTAGTGGATTTCATTGCAATCCCAAAATTTCCTTTATAGTTGCATTTTACATATACTGGAGTATTTTTGAGAATTTTTTCAGATTTTTTAAAATAAATATAATTTTTATTTACTTACTTAAAGTTAAAAAATTGAATTTTCTTTATATTATTTATTTTTTATCATTAAAATTAATTTCTTTATCTAAAAATACTGGAAAAATCCTAAAAAAATCTATATGTATAAAAATTTTATGTATTTTGTATTCAAATGACAACAAAAAGAGAAATTCCTTTAAATTATTATCTCCAATATCTTGAGGCATATATTTAAGGGCATGCTCTCAAATAACTCGCACCTCTTGGAATTTTGCAATTTTGAACAACA